TCTTGTGCTCTGAAAATGGGATGCACAGCCTCCAAGCTCGACAGTGAGGACGCCGTCCGTCGCTGCAAGGAGCGGCGTCGTTTGATGAAGGACGCCGTCTATGCTCGCCACCATCTCGCCGCCGCTCACTCTGACTATTGCCGCTCCCTTCGTCTCACCGGCTCCGCCCTCTCCTCCTTTGCCTCCGGCGAGCCCCTCTCCGTGTCTGAAAACACCCCCGCTGTTTTTCTCCGCCCCTCGGAGCAGCGTGTCCCTTCCCCCCCGAAGCCCTCTCCTCCTCCTCCTCCTCAGCCTCACGTCCGCCGCCGCAAGCCGGCTCATCCTCAACCCCGGCTTCCTCACATTCTCTCCGAATCCTCTCCTTCTTCCTCTCCGGTCAGCGAGCGCTCTAATCTGACTTCTAGGTCTTTCTATCCAACTGCTTTTCAGAACTCCACTTACTCTCGCTCTCCTTCCCAAGCTTCCTCCGTCTGGAACTGGGAGAATTTCTACCCTCCTTCTCCTCCTGACTCCGAGTTCTTCGAACAGAAAGCTCGTGAGAAGCACCCTCCACCATCCCTCTACGACTCTGAAACTGAGAGATCGGAGCGCGATTTCTCCCACAGACGCAAACCTAGACATGATGCCGCCGAAGAAGTTCACTGCAGCGAATGGGGCGACGACCATGATGACACCACTTCCTCTGATGACGACACCCATCCTCACGCTTCCAGATCCGATGTTGAGTCGCATGCTCCTGCAGAGCCTCTGCAACATCACAATACGCACCAAGACCACGGGAAAGACAAGACGACTACCAACTCTGACCATGTTTTCACTTCTTCCAAGACCAAATTGGTGGTCAGGCACAGGGATTTGAAGGAGATTTTGGACGCCGTTCAAGACTACTTCGACAAGGCTGCCTCCGCTGGAGACCAGGTCTCCGCCATGCTTGAGATCGGCCGGGCTGAGCTCGACCGCAGTTTCAGCAAGCTGAAGAGTAAGTCAACTTCTCTCCACTTCACTCTACTAACTAGATCATGCATTCAACTCGTCTCACTCACTACTCTCTGCAGAGACTGTGTATCATTCAAGCAGTGTGTTCAGCAACTTGAGTGCAAGCTGGACCTCAAAACCCCCTTTGGCAGTCAGATACAAGCTCGATGCATCTACCCTGAATGATCAAGGCAGCCTCAAGAGCCTCTGCTCCACTCTAGACCGACTCCTGGCTTGGGAGAAGAAGCTCTATGAGGATGTCAAGGTACATTTGCTATTGCCTTCTTCCCTTAGTGTTGTCTTCAGGTTCTTCCCTAATCAGCTTATGAATGCGGATCATTAGGCAAGAGAAGGAATTAAGATTGAGCACGAGAAGAAGCTGTCTGCGTTGCAGAGTCAGGAGTACAAGGGAGGCGATGAATCCAAGCTTGACAAGACTAAAACTTCCATAACCAGACTGCAATCACTGATCATTGTTACTTCAGAAGCTGTTTTAACTACGTCTAATGCCATTCGCCGTCTCCGGGACACTGACCTTGTGCCTCAGCTTGTTGAACTCTGCCACGGGTCAGTCATTATCTTCCCTTCTCTTTTCTCTTTGAATTTGGGTTTGTGTTTCATTGTTCTCTGAGGTCTGGTTTATTTTGTAAACATAGCAAAAGCAATCGCAGATACAAGTCAGATGCAAAACAATTTAACGCCTTAGGCTTGAGTTATGTGATGTAGGCCGCACAGCCTTTGCCTAGGCTGGTTTATTATGTGCTTCTGCAAACTCATGTGAACTCAAATTAGAAACTGAAATATCAAAACCATAGGTGTTTTTCAAAGTAAAATAATAGGGAGGATTTGTTTGTCTCAAGTGTCTAACAACCATGTGACACTGCAAATGCAGATTAATGTACATGTGGAAGTCAATGCACGAGTACCACGAAATCCAGAACAACATCGTCCAACAAGTGCGTGGCCTGATCAACCAGACAGAGAGAGGTGAGTCAACATCAGAAGTACACAGGCAGGTGACGCGAGACCTAGAGTCAGCTGTCTCCTTGTGGCACTCGAGCTTCTGTCGCATCATCAAATTCCAAAGGGAGTTCATAAGTTCCCTCCACTCGTGGTTCAAGCTCAGCCTTGTTCCCCTGAGCAACGAAGACCCAAAGAAGCAGCGGTCAGATACATTTGCCTTGTGTGAAGAGTGGAAGCAGAGCCTGGAACGTGTGCCTGACACGGTGGCATCAGAAGCCATAAAGAGCTTTGTAAATGTGGTGCATGTGATATCGATAAAGCAGGCTGAAGAGGTGAAGATGAAGAAACGCACGGAGAGTGCAGGAAAGGAACTGGAGAAGAAGGCATCGTCACTGAGGAGCATAGAGAGAAAGTACTACCAGGCCTATTCGACCGTGGGGATAGGGCCTGGACCGGAGGCCTTGGATGCACGGGACCCGCTTTCTGAGAAGAAATCAGAGCTGGCGGCGTGTCAGAGGCAGGTGGAGGATGAGGTGATGAGGCACGTAAAGGCCGTGGAGGTGACACGGGCAATGACTCTAAACAATCTTCAAACCGGCCTGCCAAATCTGTTCCAAGCCATGACCAGCTTCTCATCTCTCTTCACAGACTCTCTCCAGACCGTCTGTTCTCGTTCCTACTCCATCAACTGACGCTCTTCTTTAGTAAAAACAAACTCTCATCATTATTATTAGTTTCGGCCTTCAGGGGAATTGTTATGTAAATTTACCACTGCACGTGACTGAGGATTAACCTGACCTGACCCTCAATTGTGTCATCTAAAAAGTCTTGTGGTTTTGTTCAGACTCGAATCTTTCTCATTGAATTTAGGGGTGGGCATATGGTTGTTTGGTCGGATCCGGTACGGTTTTTTTGGATTTTCGGGTAGAGGCTTAGAAGTACCGTTTGGGTTTATTTGTTTTTTTTCGGATCGGGATCGGGATCGGGTGGGATCCTCTCGGATAAAACCGTTTACTTCGGATTGGATCCAAGTTCAGATAATATGACATTGATAAATAATATCTGGAAGCAATGGCTCAAAAGTGGACCTGTTACTATTATTAAATTTTTGTTAATCTTCCATATTTATCTTATGGTTAAAACCCTAACGTTTTGGC